TCAAAATGTCCTCTTTCATTACTGTTTTTATTCATAACCGTTACTTGCGATTTTGAGGGTTTTAGTTTAAGATTGTGATGCTTTGCAAATCTGACAATACTTTGGAGATCTGAATTCAGTTGTTGTGCAATATGGAGTGTGGTTTTACTGAAAGGGAGATATATTTGTGAGTCATCTGCATATTGTTTTATCTTTGCGAATCTTACCGATTTGACCATTTCAGATATGTAGATTGAAAATAGCAAATGAGATAAAATTGAAAATTGATGAACTCCTCTTTTTATAGGTTTAAAATCGGTTTTGTAAATAGCGGAATCATTTGCTAACATAACACAGTTTGACCGGTTGCTTAAGTATGTTTTTATTAGATTTACGGAGTTCTGCGAAAACCCCTGGTGATGACTTGGCTAGTAACATTTCATGATTCAGAGTATCGAACGCTTTACTAAAATCGAGAAGAACCATGCACGTACTATTTTTTTGTTCTTGGTGATGTCTGATATCATCCAAGATATTAACTAATGATGTACTTAATAATAATAATAGACGTCTTTATTTATCCACAATTACATTGTAGTATAGCCAAATGTCAGACTTATATGGCGAAGTTTAGCCTGCTGCTACTTTTACACTTAACCATATAGTCTCTAGCAGATGTTCAAAAGAATACACTATCCACAAACAGATTTGGTTCATTAAATCGAAAGTAAAATTTAAAAAAAGAGAAAAAGGCATACTTTCCAAACCCAAATGCACCAAAAAATTATTAATCTGAATTAAAGATGGAATAAAAAAGAAATGAATGATTACGTAAATTATATGTGTGGAGGGTTGAGTAATAACTTTTTGTCGGAAGAAAGGTAATGAAAATTCTTTATATACTTTAGGAAGGTCATTATAAATAATAGCAACATTGTAAGAAAAACTGCGTTTAAAAAGTGTAGACGTATGCAGGGGGATTCTGATATTATTTTCTCTGAGAGTTCTACAGTGAACATCATTATTAAATGAAATTTTTTCCTTCAAGTAATAAGGTTTAGACGTGAGCAGCAATTTGTGAACAAAAACTGAATAGTGATACTTGACCATGTCATTAATTTTTAACCAGTTTAGAACGGGATATTTCGCTGATACATGATCAAATTTACGTAAGCCAAAAAAGAATCGTATACAATTGTTTTGAATAACTTGAATAACGTTTTTAGTGAAATTGTCGAAACAAGTATAGTATACGATATTACAATAATTTAGTATAGATATGACCAATGCTTCACATAGTTTTTTACGCATCTTAAAATTTAGTAAATACCTGTTTGCTATAAGAGTGCGCAGCCGTAGGTAGGTTTTCTGAGATAGACTTTTAACATGTTCAATAAACCTTAATTTTGTATCAAAAACAACACCAAGAATTTTTGCAAAATCAAAAAATTGCAAGATTTGGTTATTCATCTGAATGTTCAAGAGCTGTGTTACATTGTATGTTTTTCTTTGTGCGCAAAATAATAACATTTTAGATTTTTGTGGATTAATAAGTAGATTGTGATCTAAAGAGTATTTAATTAATTTATTAACATCGTTTTGTAAAATTTGAGTAGTATTATTGACATTATCTGGGTTAAAATAATGAAGCAATTGCGTATCGTCTGCAAATGACTGGACATGAGAATTATCAATACTTTTGCTTAAGTCGAACGTATATATGAGGAACAGAAGCGGCCCCAATACAGAGCCCTGAGGTACGCCTGAGGGAATTATTGTCACTTGAGACATTTCTTGATTGAGAAAAACACACTAAGTTCTTTGATGAAGGTAATTGTCGAAAAATGAAAGGGATACACTGTCAAGACCTATGTAATTTAATTTAGCAAGTAATAATTTATGATTGATGCTGTCAAAGGCTTTCGAATAGTCTATAGAGATTAAGGCTAGTGCCATTTTCTTATCTAAGGCACTTAAAATATTGTCTTGCAGATTAAGTAGGGCAGATGTTGTACTATATTTTTTTCTAAATCCGAATTGAGTGTCGGGAAGTACAAAGAATTTTTCTAGGTAAGCGGTCAATTGGAACTTTATAATTTTTTCTAAAATTTTGGATAAAATTGGTAATAAACTGATAGGTCTGAGATCATTATACTCAGTGGGTTTAATTTTTTTAGGAATTTTAATAATTAGAGCTTGTTTCCATGTGTTTGGAAAGAAGCCTTTTTCCAAATAGTCGTTGAAGATGTGGACGATGTGATGGAGAATAACTGGCAGGCAAAGCTGGATCATTGACAGGGATATACCATCAATTCCCTTCGCATCAGATTTTAGGCTCACTATTGCCTGTAATACGTCATTTGAACTAATCTTATTCAATGAAAAAATATATTCAGAGCTTAATTTATTTTTGAAATTGTTTTGTATTATATTTGTACCAAAGTTTTTCCTAAAACCGGATTGACTATCCGGTATGATATCGTTTGAATCACAAAAAAATCTAATTTGATTATAAATACTCGTATGCCTTTCTAATATTTTGTATTTTTCGGGTAATATGCTAATAGGCTTCAAGTCTGTAAATTCTTTGGGTTCTGCTATTTTTGGTAAGGTTTCAACAATAGCTTTCTTCCATATTTCTGGAAATAACCCCCCAAAATACATGTGTTGATTATATTCAGTAAGGCATTCGTACAAGATAGGATACATAACTTTAGGTCTCTCATAGAGAAACCATCCTCTCGAATGGTATTTGATTCGATATTAGTTAGAATTTTGATTAGACTGGCCCTATCTAACAGTTGGAAGCTAAGCGAATCGTTAATGTTTACATTGTTTTTGTGAAAATTTATCAATTCTTGGGAAGCGGTGTCTTATATATGCTGCGTCATTCCAGTTTTCGGAGATGTAACTTGATTACACATAACGCGGGTGCGGTGCTGATTTGCCGTAATGCTTCTCGAAGTTTTTGAAAACGCAAAAAACGGAGGAAATCGTAATGTATAACTTTGAACAAAACACAAATACTCCGTCTGGCACAGCTAAAAAATATATTTCATGGGCAGCGTATCCAGTAATAATTTTCTCAAACACAAACAAACTGAGTTGCAGCTTGCAACATGGCCATTGAGCGTGTCGGATCGTTTAGTCAGTCCTCCATAGATGGACGCTTTTGATGACACTAATAGCGCTAATAGCGAGCAATCGCAGAAAGTACTATTTGCACACTAGGAACTATCTAGGCAGCAATTTTACATTTTATAGGTTTTTTACTTAATGACCCTGCAGATGCGGCTGTGTCAAACTGAACAGTCATTATCGAGTGGTCGCACGGACTACTCCAGTCGGGTTAGTATGAACCATGATATATACAACAAACGTTTTAATTTAACAGTTGTATGAATATTCTGTCTAACAGTTGCGTAATATTGCTAGGATCAGAAGCCAGCAGCCGCTGAAACGTTAAAAAAAGAATCTTGAGCGATTTAACCTTTTTCTTTTTTTTGTCTATAGTTTCGCAGCCACTGAATTGTATTAAAACCGACTAATGGAAATGAATGATAATAAACATTTTATGTTTGTTCGTGATGTTATATGTGATGTAACGTTAAAATTGTAATGAAAGAGGGACATAAATGAAGTTTATTTCAAATTAAGCCTTCCTAGAATTCCACCGGGATTGATACAGTTGCGAATTTATAAAGACAGATGGCAAAGGTATATTGACATATTCTCGAAAATGGATGGATGGAATTGTTCAAATATGATAAAAGATCCTGGAACGTTTTATCTCAACCTAGAATTTCCGCTATAAAAGTACGTTTTCCACTTATGTGTGAAAAACAAGTAATAAATAACGATGAAGGACACTTGAAATATCCTCATGAACGATTAGAACAGCTGACGTACTTTCAAGAGCTACTACTTATAAAGATGTCAGAAAAACAATTTCTTATCGTTTGATCAACAAGGATTTACGGAAAACATTTCATTGTTGTTGTGTTCATTGTTGCTTTGTTCTCATCTTGTCATGTCCATCTATCTATCCAACCAACTCCTAATTTTAGCTCAGAATACAAATAAATATGTCTAAAATAAAATTTAAAAACAATACTAAACATAAATTCCTAACCACCTTGAACTTATTATAACTTATTAACATTAAAAAAAATTTAATAAGCACACAAAGCCGGAGATCAATAATTCAAAATGTAGATCAACGTGTCAATATTGCTAACAGTCTTGTTGGAAAATGATGCTTCTCTCTTGTAATTGTAATTTCCGTTTCCGATTTCTCTAAATAACTAAGGATATGATGAGTTGTTGTAATTCACACAAAAATGCTCTACACTCTCGAGTCCAAATGAGGATACTTAAAAATGCTGGACACTGAAGGCCTAAAATGGGGTGTTAGCAATTATGTTTTTATCACGTGCGGGTGAATTTTTTTTAAATACGGGTGCGTCATCTATTGTTAGTTAGATTCTGAATGGATGGAGGTGTAAATCAATGTGTAAAATCCGGTGTAAAGTGGTCCCAATTGTTGCGAACGGTGCCTAGTCGAGGTGGTTGATCTTCTCGCACACTTTCACTCACTGCGGTATGTATGTATGTTGGTATGGTCTGCGACCTTCAGCTGAACTAGCTTCCTCAAAACGATTAACAATCCAACGAATTCCAGGCTCTGTAGGGCGTCCATGTCGGCCAAAACAAGTGCGAAGTTTGCGAAAAGTATTTTTTATATTTCGACCGTTTTGTAAACGAATCCATGACTATAAATGGAACACCTTTGACAGTTCATTTATGCATACCACATGACTTTTGACTGACATGGTAACACATAAACTTATAGGTAAAAAAAGTAATAGATGGCGCACCCAGTAGATGCCACATATGTCAAAGAATTTTCATATCTCAATATACCAATCGAGATATACCTATCAATGGAAAAATACAAAGACTTACATAAACAAAAAACTTGTGATAAAAAGACAACCACTCATGACATCACGTCATACAAGATGTTTCGCCTAAGCATCGCAATCCTTGCACTCGTTGCAGCTGCTAACGCAGCTGTTCACAATGTTACATCGTTCGGTGCCGATCCTACTGGAAGGCGATCAAGTACTGAAGCTATAGCTCTAGCTATCAATGCAGCTGCTGCTGAAAATGGAGGTATCGTCCATTTACCTGCTGGCAGCTACTCAAGTGGGCCCATCGAGTTGAAGGATGGAGTTATTCTAGATGTCGCTGCTGGGTGTGTCATTACGTTCCTTCCAGATGCCAACTTGTATCCTCCTTTGATTGTGAAATTACCTGGAAAGGTAAGTAGAATTCATGTAACACATGAAACCGCCTGTGGTTTCAATGTTAATTGGACTCCATTGTTTGGCCGATAATTAAAACCATATATGTCTCTATGTTCATTATACGACGTTTCGGCATGGTACGAAACTATCAGACTATTGTCGCTAAACACTGTATATTAATGGAGAAAATAAAAAATAAATGAAGTGAACAAAATATATTGTCATTAGTTGTACCGTGGTGGTCGAAAAATTCCAAACAATATATCTTCAACAGTTCTTCATAAATGGCTAAATAATAATAATAATTTCCAACAGATTTCCGACCATCCACACCAAGGATTTACAATGAGTAATCAAAAATAGTTGAGTTAGATAATTGTTAATCTGTTTGTTGGTGTTCACATGCCGCACAGAATTTCAAAAAAGAATGCACAGTTAATTAATAGAAAGAGGGGATGTTTTTCTATCAATGAAACGTGTGATGTTCCCCAGAGCACTAAATCCTCTTAAAAGTAAATATCCTCCAAATTGCGGGTAAATCTCCCAACATGGTAATACTGTCAAATCACCACTGATACTCCAGGCATATAGTTTCGAGTTCGTTTTTACAGCCTTGTCGACGCTTTCCCTGATATATAGGCTCCACGACCGAGACCATCAGACCACAGTAATTTTTTTATACAGGGTCAGGTATATAGAACATAAAAAATACGTTGCATACCTGAGTTGAGAGATAAACCATTATTGGTCGAGCACTTTTATATCTTGAAGCGCGTAGCGTCTAAGGATATGATGTGCGAGGACCATAATGGCCTTCTTCACCGAGGTATATGTATACATTTTTTTCACTACTACGACGTATTACCTTATTTAACCTGATTAGACCTTATTTAGAATATAGCGTATCTGATAATTTCCTCAACGTCTGGCAACACTGTCAGATAAAGCTGCATTACGTATGAGGGGAAAGCTACCTCCACATGATGGCGTCTGACAAGCCTTCAAAATTATAAAATAAATTAATACAATCAACAACAATAACTTCAGATTAGACTCTGCATTTATTCAGTAAACAAAAATTGTTAGTAACTGTTGGTAGCAATTCGGTGTCCATGCAGTGAATAATGGCGAGGCTGCCTTACGGAGATAGAGGTTTTCTAGGGGACGCTGATGAAAAATCGATGTTCACTAAATATCATTAAAATAACACTGTATTATTTTGAGAAATGTTGCTGGCGTAGTAACCAATGTGGGCCTTCCATGATGCTGTTCATGCAATACAATAAACTGATTCATTTATTCTTAGATGACTAAATCCGCACTAGTCGCTATGCTATTTTATAAATAAATAAATGCAGTCAATTTCGGCTAGAAAACCCCATGACGTAAATTATGAGGATCTCCTGATCGCGTTTTAGGATTTCATCCCAGATTTTGCGATTCGACTGCAGAATAACTAGTATTGAAACAACTCAGCTCAGTTTATGAAAGTAGAATAAGTTCACGTTTTCCTCTTCAGAAAAAGCTAAACTTTGCAGAAATATGATAGGGCAATTTTTATTAAGGTGTGTAACTGGCAACTAAATGCGATATTTTCCGTAGATACCATCATCTGAGAAACACACTGGTTACTTCGCTGCCAAAATTTGGTTAAATTATACATATCGTTCAAAGAGTATCTAAAAAATCGATTTATCGATCATTTACAAAATGTATATCCTTAGAAAAACCCAAATATGACATTTTTATATGAGCTTGAGGCATTGCTTTTTATGTTCTATGTACATCCGTGTCATTGCTACACTATTCTGGAACACCCTGTACATATATTAACGACAAAATTAATTCTGGCATCTTCTGTGGTACTGCTGTATGATGTGCTGACTTTAAAGATGTTGAAAAAATAGTCAGGTACATTGAGTTGTGACCAATGGATCAAAAAGCAGAGCTAAAATATCGTGGATGATTTTCGGTCAATAATGGATAGAAAAGAAAAATCGGTCTAGATGCTGTGGTCTGGTCTGAGAATGTATTGTTTGGCTTTGGATGTGTTGATTGCTCGTAGGTGGTAAGCGGTCTCAGACAAATTTTGTTGTTTTTAAATTCACATATGCAGTAAATTTATTTAAATCAAATTACCTGATTTGAAAACTCCATAAAGCAGCATTCTTGTTTTTTTATAGATGAGGCATCTCCCATTCACACCACTAATCCGTGCCACAGGAGTGAAGAACGTAGGTATCAGAGGAGAAGGAATTCTCGAAGGAAACGGACCAATTTGGTGGAACAGACTCCCTCCACCAGCAACTAGGCCCTACTTTCATCTACGGCTTTGACACTCACAACTTGTCATCAATGGAGTTACCATTAGAAACAGTCCCATGAACAATATCCACATCTGTGATACCACTGGCATCTCTATCCAGAGAGTCAAAATCTTCAACCCACCAGATTTTCATGGCAAAGGACCCAACACTGACGGTATCAACCTCATATCGTGCAGATATGTCCATATCGCTGGATGCACTATCGGCACAGGTGATGACTGCATAGCACTAAATGCAGGAGGCATCGGCTCCAAACGCATTGCTACAACCAACGTGCTTATAGAAGATTGTCACATGACAGCTGGACATGCTGCAGTCAGTGTTGGCAGTGTCACTTCAGGTGGACTCCACAACATCACTGTGAGGAACCTTATGGTTGAGAATACAGTGAGGGGACTGTTTATAAAGACAAACAGGGAGAGAGGTGGTCTGATCGAGAATATTAATTACAGCAACATAATAATGTTAAACGTTAAAGGTGAGGGAATAGCTATATCCACCGTATACGACTCCAAACATCAGGATTATCATAATAAAAACATTCCTGAGGAGCTATCAAGGATACCACTCCATTTATACGTGACATCACTTACGATGGTATTGGTGGGAGTTGTGGAAACGAGCCAGTATTTGCTGGTAGGAGTACCTGAATCCCCAGTGAGGAATATTAACATAAGTAACTTGAATGTCCGATCGTTGAAACACAAGGGAAATTATTTGTACCATACAGACAATATTGTAATCAATGGTAGACAGCAATAGACTTTGAAATATGTGTTTCATTTTCTAACCGCTACAGTTTTTCCATTATTATTAGACAAAGAACTCCATTCTATATCTTATTCAAATGAGACTTACGTCCCGTATAGGCATATAAGAGTCCGTTCTTCGTTTTTACGATACTAATGCATACTGCTGAGATGCTGAATACTGAAGACGAAATAATTGCCATTGCTATTGTTTATGCTAGAAGACAGTGCGGTGATATTTACGGTACCTGTAGGGCTGAGTCTTCTTCAGCTATCGTTCGTTAGGTAACACTTCAGGAAACTGTCTGCTTAACATAAGGTGCATTGCTATATACAGGGTGGCGCATCGAAAACGAAACAGACGCATTTACTGGCAGCTCAGTTTTTTTTGAAAAGCGCTCAGACCCGTCGATTTTGTTTTCGAGGGGACACAAGTTTGGCAAAAAATCACGTTAGCACGTGCAGCCCCCTAAGCGGGGGTGACACTACCCCAAAATCGTAAATGGAAAGGGGGGTCGAGTGATACCTTATTTTAAAGGTCTTTCAATTACCTTTATAATGATATTAAATCAATGTACTTCAGTTCAGTAGTTTTGAAAATTTATTGATTTAAAGCTTAAATAAAACTAACACATCATTAGTGGAGATCAATACATTTGGCGGCAAAGTAATTTAAAAATGAAGAATGAACTGACCCGTTAGGCAAGTAAATGTTGAAAATGGTCACCATGACTCTCCAAGATTTTGCTCAAAACGTTGCCGCACATTTTGCAATACTTGAATAGTAATTTGAAGGCCCTCTTTCACAATTCTTGTCGCAAGTCTTCTAATGATGTTGGCTGAGTAGCATAGATTTTGATTTTTAAATGACCCCACATAAAGAAATCCAAAGGTGATAAATCTGGCGATCTTGGGGACCATTCAATGGCACCTCTTCTACCAATCCATCGATCTGGAAATGTCTGATCTAAATATTGTCGAACACGTAATGTGTAATGTGGTGGGGCACCATTCTGTTGGAACATCAACCTATACGCAATTGTACCGCCGATCATTCTGGTTTTCGATTATGGCTGTTAATGCAGGACCTATGGCGTCTTCCAGTAATTCTAAATACATTTCAGCGGTCAAATTTCCAGGTAAGATAACAGGACCAACTGCATGATCGTCAAAAATACCAGCCCAACATTTAATTTTTGTGGCTGCTGTGTATGAACCTCATGATAAATTATGGGATTAGAATCGGACCAATATCGGCAGATATGACGACTTACTACGCCATTTAAGAAAAAGAAACATTCGTCGGAAAAGCAAGTGTTGAATAGAAAATGTTCGTCGTTTATAATTCGTTCACTCATATCTTCACAAAATTGTAATCGCCGATCAAAATTGTCTTCATTAAGTTCTTGTACCAGGTCTATTTTATACGGATGAAAACTATGGGCCTTTAGAATCCATTGGACAGTACGTCGACTAACACCACACACAGTCTCCAATTTGCGGGTACTTAACGTAGGATCTACATAAACTTGCCCTAAACCCCACTTCTATTGCTTCGTTCCTTATGGGATTTTCAATGTTGCGTTTTTTATTGGCGGCAAACCCAGTTTCCCGAAATTTAGCTACAAGTTCTATAACATATTTTTGATGCACGTTATTGTTCTCATGTCCCTGATTAATTATTTTTGCTGTTCTATTAGCGCACTGATTATTTCCGAAAAATATTTCAATAATTTCAACTCTTTCTGCTGTGGAATATACCATGATTGATTTATGTAAAAAAGCGTTACAAGTTATTTTAGCAACAAAGTATAGTCAAATCAATCGCAAACTATGTACTCTTCAAGAAATAACTTTTTTGCCACAAAAAACGCAATTTTCAACAACAAAATGATAAACGAACCATGGGCGTAGTGAAGAAAAGAATTTACTTATTAAGTAAACTCTTTTAGTAAAATTTCTTCTGAAAGTAGTACAAACTAATCTGATGTACCTATTAAAGTCTACTTTAAGCTTTAAATCAATAAATATTCAAAACTATTGAACTGAAGCTCATGTATTTTACATCATTATAAAGGGAATTGGATGACCTTTAAAATAAGGTATCGCTCGACCTCCCTTTCCATTTGAGATTTTAGGGTTGGTGTCACCTCCCCCAGGGGGCTGCACTTATTAACGTGATTTTTTGCCAAACTTATGTCCCCTTGAAAACAAAATCGACGGGTCTGAGCGCTTTTCCAAAAAAAACTGAACTGCCAGTAAATGCGTGTTTCGTTTTCGATGCGCCACCCTGTATATACTATATTACTTATGTTGTAAGGTGTATTACCTTCACCCTTTATGGTCTAAAGTACACGACTAGCGAGGAAGAACTGTAGTCGAGAAAAAAAACAAAATGACACCATGCGACTCATTGTCGTTGGTCTATTGGTTGGTACGTCTCTCCTCTAATCCTTAGCCCGACTATAAGTACAAGCAGGATTTTCACACAAGGTTTTATGTCAAGGGCGAAAAAACTTCGTAGCTTTTGAAAAATGGTGAAGTAAGGGCAGAGCTACAGGCGATAGAAGCAGAAAAGTTTTTTGACGTTTGCTTTTAAAAAAATTTTGACACAACAAATTGTAAGAGGGGGATTATAGGTGGGTGGGGGAGGGTGTACTTACTGCCCTAGTGTATTCATAAACTTCTAACCACAGTAATTCTATGCGCCTATTAGACATATTTCATACATATATGGTTCCCCGTACATTTGCCCTTAGGACTTAATGTGTCACGTGCTAAAATCACGGATCCTTTTTTTACAGTTTTGATCACTCTCACGTATTATATCTGTCATTCACAGCAACTCAATATTGTATTAACATCTTTCTTCTATCTGAGAAATCTCCTTATAAAATATTGTTGGTCCCTCGTAGACAGATTTGTTTTCTGCCCAGTGGCAACCAGCGCGCCACCTTGTGACTTGACACGTATTAGCAGTCTAGCGACATTTGGATCTATCAATCTTCTTCGTTTAGAAGGTGTGCCCGAAAATGTAATAAAAAATATGGCATTCCGTTTAAAAAGGAACTTTGATGTGTTGGTCAAAATTGAGTCACTCTGTGTAATTGCTTTCTATAAATGTGCGGGGTATGGGTGCAGATGTACCCAATTCCAACTGCAGAGCATGCCGATGCCAAAGATGCTCATGCATCCTTGCCAGAGTATAAAGTATATGTTGGCACCACTTAAGTTCATCGGTACTCGCACCGTACTACCATTTCTAGCATTCTTCCGGTATAAATGCGGCACTGTACTCCAGGAAATATTGAGTCCGTTGTGGAGAACCAGAAAGGAGCCTCGTCTTGAAGATGGATAAAAAACAGATCAAGTATCTGAAGCTCTTCAATCAGCTTCGCAGGCTTTACTTATACCGCGCTGCCAATCTGCTAGTTATAGTCATTGGATCCTTGGATGGGATAAGGAATACGCTGCTCTTTGCAAAAAAATCTATACCGGTAGGCAGATCATCGACAAGCAGCCGGAAGAATGCAGAAAGCGCTCATCCTCGATTCCCTTCGTCTTTGTAGGGCACACGACTTGCGGACCACCTGGTTGCTTACCGCACGATGTGAGAAGTGGCTAGTTGGTAATAGAATTGCAGCTTGCAGCCCAAGTTATCTACTCTTCTTTTCCGTTCTTCTCTTATAATAATACTATCTCATTCATCCTGTAGACCACAATAATAATAATAATAATAATAATTTGTCAAATTCAATTATGCAAATATAAATTTTCAAAGACTGTTGCCACAAAGGAGTATCAATGACAAATAAAAGTAATGCCACGAAAGAAAAATCTTTTGTGTGGCCATCCCATTATTGTCAGTTGTCTATCCGCAGATATAAATAAAGTCTATCAAGTACTTGCTGATGCACTATGCGCTTCTTACGCACGCACTGACATAATTTGGTGTTACACGATCACTGGTAGAAATGCGAAAACCTTGAACTGACATTGTGGCACTTTAACTAAATTCAATAATAAATAACATAAATCAAAAGGCTAAACTAAAAAACAGTATATCTAAGATAAAGGACAATAAAAACTAAAATGACATTACAAAACTGGTAGTTGCATTTGTGTTGTGAGCAATGTTACTTAGAAAAAGGCAAATAGCATTTAAGAAACCATCTTTTGTGAGAGAGGAATTGTACATATTCCAAACAATTCAAATATCACAAAATCGGTTCTGGATCATAAACATGATGACTAATTAAAATCACAATAAAATTAGTTTCAATTTAAAATACGAGATAATAACAATTAAACAAGACGATCATATATGACAAGGAGGTATAAATACTCCTGTACCTTTCAAATGAGTATGAACAACAAAAATGTTCTTTTAATTATATCTGCTTCAAGCTTTGGTTGTTAGTGCATTGGGAGGCGATATCCTATACAACGTTATTTACTACGGAGCTGATCGCACTGCAAAGCAATCAAGTACTGAAGCTATCAAGAAAGCCATAGATGAAGCAAGAACTACCGGGGGAATTGTCTTTTTCAAAGATGGACAATACTTGACTGGTCTGATCGAGTTGAAGTCAGGGGTCCACCTCAATTTTGCATTCTTGGCAGACCTACAGCTGTAACCACCAATGAAGATAAAACTACCTAATGGTAAGACTGAAGAATTTGCATTCAAACCCTTGAGTGGAGCTTATGGTCAAAAGGACCTGGGGATAAGGGGAATGGGAACTGGAGTGATAAATGGAGGAGGTACTACCACGTGGGATGGGATGCCCCACCAAACCAGACCGGTGTTCAACCACGTCTGCGATTGAGAAAACATCCTTATGGAGTGCGCCCGCATAGAGAATGGTCAGATAGCCTCAATCTATACTCAGTTAGGTAGGTCCATATCTACGGAGTCAACATCACCACAGGCGATGGCTGCTTCGCTCTGAAGGCGTTGGGCTTAGGGACCGGCGCCATTCCAGCGGAACATGTGTTGATTGAAGAAAGTCAAATGCTTATTGGACGTGGAGGGCTCAGCATCGGAAGCGAGATAACAGGAGGTGCGAGGAATGTGACTATCAGACATTGTTACTTCAGAAACACCCTTACAGGGCTCCTGATTAAGACCAACAGATTTAGAGGAGGTACAATTGAATATATCGAAGCTTATAATAAAACCATGCAGTATATTCAGCACGAAGCTATAGCAATATCAACATTCTATGGTTTTCATAGAAAAGATGAACGTGTGAGAAATGCCACATCGCCTTATATTAAAAGTATAAGCTATGGTCAGATTCAC